AGATAGATAGATAGATAGATAGATAGATAGATAGATAGATAGATAGAGATACTATATATATTGAAAGAACTCTTAATATCTTTTTTCTACTAATTATTTAATGTTTCATTTGTATTTATTTTTTAGTAAGTTCTGCTCCCTTTTGTGTTCAGTCAAAATTTTCCTAATTCTTTCCATGTCCATTGCCTTTTGTACACAGATTTACTACAACATTTTATATTTTTGATATTATATTGCTAGATTCTTTTCCATGGTGTTGGGATGTTCTTCTGGAAAAAAGTTATTTGTAATTATTGTTCTAAATCTTTTCTAGAGTAGGTGAAGAATTAATTCTATGGTTAATTTATGCCAGTATTGATTTTGACACCTTGAAGTCTTCTCAGTATGTAGTATAATAGTTCTTAGTAATATGAATTATTTTAGCTTTATGAAATTTGGAAGCCACTCTGCCTTCTTTTTTGTTGTTTTTTCCCCCCAAGTTTTTGGTAGTTCTTCACATGGATATCCACATTAGAATGTCGCTCTGATTTGTAGGAATGGTTTTCAAATCCCTGGTATAGTTTCTATGTGTAGTTCTCGCTAATATTCCCTTTTGTGTTCTAGCTGCTTTGCAGCCTTCCCTCCCAATACCTGTCTCTCTGATTCAATGAGATCACTGGCCTTTTTTAATTTCTTTACTTTACCTCAGGAAATGTTTGCTAAGCTATAATGTTTATGAGGCTGTCATTTTCCTCTTACCCCTTCCTGTGACTACTGCCTAATATGTAAAAATTGTTTAGTATATCAAGTCCAGTTTTCTGGTTGCTTAAAGTAGACTAAATCCAATATCTTCACAGACTGTTTAATGGCTACTTCCTGGTTTCCCCAGTATTACAGTGTAACTTTGTAGTTCCTTCTATTTTAAATCCCACACAAAAATTATTATCATTATTAGACGCTCAAATTGTTTCTTCTGAGCATTGTTTTGAAAGTTTTGTTATTGCTTATATTTGAAGTAATTAGCTACATTTCAATACCATAAAGCCTAAAGATTTAAATACATATACTATTACATTTATCCATATTAAAATTAATTTTTCCTTTTCAGGAATAAACTTCAGAGTAATTTAAAACAATTTTCTGATTTGATTCTTATAAAAAAATTTATAAACTAGACTCATTAATTTCTTTCCAAGTATATAACCTATAAATCAGACAGGTAAAATTCAACCCTGAATGCTCTCAGTCTTATATCAATACTTTTTTCTATATTTCAAGGTCTGTTGTACTAGAATATGCAGAAATTCATTTGAACTGGAAAACCATTTTAAGTGGATAAAAGTTTTATTCTGTCTTATTTTATTCTTATGTTTGTAAGAATGGCATGTGGCAGAATGAAAAGAATAAAATTGAAACTATGCACATAGTTTATCAACAACATTCAATCTAAGTAATAAAACAGTATGAAGCTTTTAAACCACACACAAATCATAACCATACAGAGTATATGTCTAGTTTAGGTATTGAAAATTACAGAATGTACATGTTTAGCTAGACAGCAAGTTGTAAGTGGACAGACATAGGACTTAATCTTAATGGTTCAGGTGACCAAAATGCTTAACCTGCCTAGAAAAGCTGCTTTAATTAATCAACTAGTTAATTAGTCAGATCATATTTCTCTTTTAATACATAGGAGATAGTAATGAACAAAAATGAGAAGAAAATGGTTTTGTTTTTTTTATAAATCAAGCTGTATTTCTTTAAATCTACCTGATATCAAACTCTTGTTATATGCCAAATGTAGTGGTGCACACCTTGTCTCCTGGGAGACAAAGGTAGAAAGATTATAGTTCAAGGAGGGCCTGGCTACCTAGGAAGTCCCCGTTCTAAAAATGAAAGAGGAGAAGAGAAGGAAGAAGAGGAGAAGAAAGAGGAGGAGGAAGAGGAAGAGGAAGAAGAAGAAACCAAAGGAAGGATAGGGGAAAGGGTTAAAAGGAAAAAAAATTGTTAATTTGGAACAAAATAATCACAACCTTATTTGCAAAAACCATCTATTACCTAAGCATCTGTGTCTGTTTAGTGTGTCTATTTTTTGACCTATGATCCCTTGCATAGGAAAAGAATTTATGTCATTCTGTAAAACTATAAAATCAAGATAAAGACCATTTTATTGATCACAGCTTAAATGGTAAAACTTGTAATGCAGAATGATTGCAGACCATCTCTATTGTTTGCAGTAATCAGTCATGGCTATTATATTCAGTCTATCTATTCTATGTACAGTGGGTTTATTTCCTGACTTTAACTTACTAATCACTGTCTCATGTTCCCAATCCTAGGTTATTTTCCAGTAATCTTATATTTACCTTAAAGATAAAATAATCATGCTTACGATACATTTTGGTTCTTTGTTTTTCCTCCTTACAGAGTTGCATTTGGAAACTGCACTGGGTTGGTTGTGGTGGATTTCATACAGAAGACAGTACTATTAAGTATGGGAACCATTGACCTCTATAGATCAAGTGACTTGTACCAGCGACAGCCCCGGTCTCCTCGAAAAAACAAGCAGTTCATTGCAGGTAGGAGACAAACTAGATGGGTTTTGAACTCCAATTGTTCACTTGTTTTCTTTCAGATTGTCTTCTTGCATGATGCCATTCAAATGCATGGTAATACTGACTCAACATGTAAATAAATGAATTGGGAAAAAACAACAATAACTTTTGAACAGTACTGAGCAGTGCTTAAAGTTCAGTTTGCTGCTGAAGTTAGGAAGCATCTTAAGTTTCTTAGGTTGGATTCCTAAGAAGTAACAGAAAATAAGAACCTATTGATATAAAAATTGGGACTCTTGTTATGAAAAGCTGTTAAAAAATTTTGGACTAAACAGTTTAACTTTCCTCTAAAATGTCTCACTTCTTTCAAATACGGTTTAAGGTCATTAATTACTTTTCTTTTTAAGTAGCTATAATGTGACCATCATCTTTATTTTTACTGATGATGACTAAATTGGACATAAGTTTATAAACATAATAAATACCACTCTATGATATTTTAAGTGCAATGAAAGATGGCAATTTTTCTTAGCAGGACAAGCAAACTAGCTTAACTGCAAGAGAAATGAAGTGTAAGGTTTATTAAGACATGATGTCAAACTTTGACAGCCTGAATTATCCAAAATTTTACAGGAATTTCAGTATATACTTAAGAGTGGCTTTGACTTCCATACTTTTTTGTATTCTTATTACCTAGTTAGTTAAATTGGCTGAAACCTTTCCTTCTATAGTGTTCTGCATTTAGATAGTGATTTTTACATTTCCTTACTTTACCACTAATTAACTGAATATTGAGACCTTTACTTAAAATACCCAGAAAAAAGGAGTATTTTATAATATATAGTAGTTGTTATTTTCCATTTGCAGAGGGGTCTGTTTTAACATTAACTGAATTTCCCATTTGGACCAATGGTGTTTGATTGCCATTCTTCTTTGTTAACTTTTCTTTGTAAACTTTAATGCTCGCTGATTTAGACCCTTTGCAGAGGCACAGCATTTGTCCTTCAGAGCTTGCCAGGCTTTTGTTTGGGACCTCAGCTTTCAGTATTATCTTAGTATCCTGGACATTTTAGTTCTGCAGATTCGGCCTCTGTCACTGCTAGCTTTTGGAAAGATAACCAGAGTAAGAACTATTGCCTCATGTTTGGAGAAGAGGCAACTAGTTTTGACAGTTCAGAGGATTTAAGACAGGAAGCTATACGGGGCAGGTAATGAGAAGCTGCTGCTCCAAGGATGGAAGTCTCCATTGGTCAGAAAAGCTGTAGCTCCCCTGCCAGCACGTCAACGATTTGTCTGATATCCTCTTAGGTAGAGAAGAGTGAATGTTTTGACTAGGAAAGTGTATGTAGTTCAAACCCGCTGAGTTTCAGCCATAATGATTACAGATTAGAATTTTAATAGCTTAAATATAGGGAAAAACTGATGAAGTTCTAAACTCAGTGTCTGTTTTGTTTTATAATGTAACTACAGTGAGTGCATACTTTATATTACAGAACAAAAACTAAAGTATCTAAGCTGCCTTTTTAATTGATGAAAGATTAAATATAGTAATCTTAACATGAACAAAATATTTTTATATAATATAACAAATGAAATAATTCCACCATGGTAGAAACTTATAAGAAGAATATGCCGCCAACTTTATAAGTTATGTGGTTAAATAAAATGGCTACAGCATTCCCATCATTCATCTATCACCTTTCTAGTTGATTTATTTTTAAAATATCTCCTTTCTATTTTGATTGCCTAATCTTGCTACAATTTCTCCACCTTGGCTGTTCTAGATTCTGGTATGATATCACTTCCTTTCACTTTAGACTATTTTCTCTCTTTCCTCTGCCTGCTGCTGATGCTGATGCTCTGGCATGTTCCAAAGACAACTTTTGCATGCGTGGGCTGTCTAACTTTTATCCTGATTTAACGAAACGGATCCGTACTTCCTATCAGAGTAAGTTCTATAAAGGTTAGGCAAATAACTTTTTTTTAAGTCATAATGCTTGAGTGAAATCCATTCATGAGTGCTTAGTAATGTGTTTTTTATAAAAACACATTCAACATGCATGCAATTTTTTGTTATGGAAATGCAATCTGATGTTTTAGTTTTTAATTTTCATAATTTTGTTTTCGATATTCCAGATCATTATTGTCATGTACCTGCTCTCTCACCCTGTGTTTCAGTGTACATTTCAAACCATGTCCTATTAGTCCAGTAGTCACTGTGTTTTCTCTTTACGGAGGAAGAGTTGTGGTTTTCTTAGACTTACTGTGTCAATGACAATCCAGTGCTTTCTTATTTTGTCAGTGCTGTGATTTGACCATTTTGAAATTTTATTCTAACTAGTATGAAAATAATCTTTTATAGTTCTTGGGGATAGCTAAATATTTTTAATTTATGATGCTTTTTGTTAAAATAGAATACCCTCAAACACATTTAAATGGTGATTTTCAGTACCAAACCCTGTGACATAGAGGAATTAAAGTCATAACTGAAAGGTGAAAATTAACAATTCCTATGGTAGCAATGAAGATGTAAAGATGGGTGAATGAGCAATTCTAAACATTAGTACAGGAAATGTGAGAGTGTGTGTCACTAAAAATATAAGAATGCTGGTCATATTGTGAGTATAAGTACTGATATGAAAAATGTTTATGTCATGCTAATATATTTTGTGAAAATCAGGTTACTTCCCAAAATATACAATATGGTATTATAGTTGTGTAAAAATACACATATGCGAAAAGCACACACACATTTGAACCTGTATACTCTTGTAACCTGAACTGTTTCAGACACCCTCTTACTAACTGAAGCCCATTATAAAAGTTAAAACTGTACAAATGTAATGTTCCTGGCAGGAAGCTAGTTCCTGTGAGGCCTTCCCAATCTTCCTGAAGTGTCCAGTGTGTCTTGCCTTTGTTCATACTCTCGAACTTTCTACTCCACCGTCACCCCTTTGGTCATACTGCCCACCGTCCCTGCTCCAGGTGACTTGTGTCACTTTTGACATCTGCCTTGGCTTCCACTACTCATAAAGCAGGAAGAGATATTATCATATTTCTTGACATCCTGAAATTATGTGAAATCCAATTTCCATAATGAGCTTTTATTGGTGCATAGTTATTCTTCTTCACTCACGTGTTTTCAAAGGCTGGTTTTACATTTCAGTGGCAGAGCTGAGAAATCAAAAAGTCGCATGGCCCACAAGTGGTCTCTGTGTACATTTTTGAAGTTTGTTGATCCATACTCTGTACCATTTTTCACACCTATTGTGTACAACCACATAGAGTTTGCAACTTTCCTTCAATGGTTTCCAGTACATCTGAATACCATTTTAGCCTCCTAAAATATTCAAGAACATGAGATTCAGATTTTACCAGTTTCTCCTGGATTCACTTCCTGGTGTTTTCTATAGTAAACGTGTGATGTTCTTAAGAAAGTCCAGAGGACAAATATTGGCTCTGAACTTGTCAGAGTTCTATGAGAAACGTATTAGGAACCTTTGAAAATTGCTGGATATTTTTATATTCCCCCCATAAAAATAAGGTCTAAGCTTTTAAGCTTACATTCAAGTCTTCTAGAATGTAGTTTCCCTTTTCTTGTCTATAAAGATATGCTCTTAACCAAGCTATATCTACCTACCCTTGTGATTTACTCACATCCCCTCTCTGTAAATGCCCTGCTTAAGTTTCATTTCCTATAATAAACCTTTTGTACTGCTGTCTATGCCTTATTCTACCAGTCTCCTTAATTAAGTGCCTATAATATACATGTGTGTACACAATGTGTCTGTATTGCTTCAATTCATTTATGTAACTATGTATTTTATATTTGTATGTTACATCACAAGATTCTGAAAACCAAATTAGTTAAATTTTGAAATTCAAATTCAACAGATAAAAATTCAAATTTGAAAAACTTAAATTCTTTATGACCTCTACATCCAGCATGAGTTCTGAGCTTAGCAAATAAATGATGATGGAGTAAGATAGAGCGTGGCAGAAAGCTATCTCATTGCATGAACAGTCAGGGAATTTCTCATATTAGATAAATAGGAGAATTAACATTTGTCAATACTGGATTGATTGGAATTTTGAAATAATTATCAGATTTTTTTCTAACCAGAGATGCACATAAACAAAAGAGAAGTAAAATTGGGTCCTTACAATACAGAACTTAAGTAGGAATTCCAGTCTCTACCAGTGGTCTCTGTGGAAGCTCGTATAGCTCTCAAACTTGGAATTAGATGTCTTAAAGTTCTGCTCCAATGATAAATATTTTATGTCATGAAGGGTGTTGATTCTTTAATGGTTCAAATATATTAATTATAAATAAATTGTATAAAAATGTCGCTTTACTTTTTAGTTGATATAATCTGATTGTATTTATATAGTCCTATATTACTATAATAGATAGGAAATGAAGTATTTCTCCTAACCTTTAGAAATGGATGTCTGTGTTGTCCCCATCTGTGAAAGGACAAAATGGACAGTTTATCCAATTCTGATTGTACTAGTTCAGTGGTTCTCAACCTCTAATGCTGTGACCCGTTAATGCAGTCCTTCGTGTTATTATGACCCCAATGATAAAATTATTTTTGTTGCTACTTCATAACTGTAATCATCTGTGTTTTCTTATGATCTTAGGCAACTATTGTGCTAGTTAGTTTGCTTATTTAATGGCCATTATAACTCTTTGAAGGAAATGGGGATTAGTTGTTATATTCCTCTGTAAATGAGAAAATTAACATTGGAAGAGATTGATTTTGTTTCTTCAAATCCTAAAGGACAGTCAGACAAACTCACCTCAATGTGGCACTAACAAGATCTTTGTGCTTTCCACCATGTTATCCTGCACCTCTTCTTGCCTCTAAAGTTTTTGTCACATTGGGAAGCAAATCCATCATTCTATAATCAAAAGCTATCTTCTTCCTTCATATTATTATTATCAATAAAATGACCTTCAAATTGAAACAATTTGAATTTGTTTTTATATCTTTTTAATGAACAATTAGGTAAAATATTCCATAAATGTCTCTTATATCTCTCCAAAACTTTTATTTTTTATTCTGTCATATCATTTTTTTTTTTTTTTGGTTTTTCGAGACAGGGTTTCTCTGTGGCTTTGGATACTGTCCTGGAACTAGCTCTTGTAGACCAGGCTGGTCTCGATCTCACAGAAATCCGCCTGCCTCTGCCTCCCAAGTACTGGGATTAAAGGCGTGTGCCACCACCGCCTGGCTTGTCGTATCATTTTGTTCTTTAAATAATGTCACATTCACATGTGAACCTTACAATTTTAATTTTGATGAAACATCTTAATTTGAATCTTTTCTTGGTCCATTTTCCTGATTATCTAATCATCTAGTTTAGGATATGAGATGTTGTCTTTTACAAGCCTTTAAATCCATGCCTGCAAATTTCTTGTACCATAAAACAATACAATCATATAACTGAAATAAAATCCATATATTTAATAAATTACTGTTTGTGGAAGCAGCAGCATGCTTTGGAACAAGCTGTAGACACATATTCAAATTTAGATCAAGTTCTACTTTTTTCAACTTATTGACTAATTATTATAATCTTAAAGGAGATACGTAAATCATTGAGATTTCTTCTCATGTATAAAATAGCATAAAAGTCATCATCTCTACTCCCCCTTAAAGAGTTGCAGAACTCTCCTGGTTGATCTTGTGAAAGAACTCTATAACTATTAGACATATTAGACACATTTATCAGACTTATTAGATATGTTTATGATTAATGTGCGAAACAATCGAAAAGCAGATGGTTAAGTAACTTCCGTCATCATGATCATTGTATGGAAGTCATAGAGTTGAAACTCCACCCGCCTGTTAGTGCCTTGAGCTTTGTTTCTGAGAATGTCAGAAATGTTGCCAGGTTAAAATTGATTGTATGCCATGTAAGTCAAAGTTTGAAGGTACATTGAAGGTAAAGTGTGGCTAGAAACATTTGCTTGTGCATCAACATATAATTATGCAAAAAGGGATACTTTGAGATCCCAGTTTTTTAATGTTCACAAAATGAGATTTTTCTGATTAGGGAATGGCAGGATATCTTCAAATTGTACATAAGAAAACAAGAAAATGAGACAAGAGGCTAACTATAAAGAAGAGGAAACAGTAAGTGTAAGGGAACTAATAAGGAAAGGCAAAAATAAACATCTGAATACAGAAAGTCGAGAATGGAAGAAAAGTAAATGGAAAAGGGATAAGGAAAGAAGGAATATCACAGACCATAAAAAATATTAGCATAAATTGTGGTAAACAAAAGATCCACTTATTCAATTTTTTCTTTTTTTTTATTTATTCTTCTTGCTTACAATACGTTCCAACTACAACCTCCCCTCCTTTCACTCCTCCCATTTCCCCACACCAGATCTACTACTCCTCCTTTTCCTTTCAGAAAAAGAGCAGGCCTCCCAAATACATCAACTGAATATGGTGTAATTAGATGCAGTAACCCTAACTGCTGGTTTGAACAACTTTCATAGGCATTGAGTATTCTTTAGTGAGAGAAACAATCCCAGTCTTTCACTTGAAGTTCCTCAACAGTACAGGTAATAAATCCACAGACAGACTCATATGACTGAAAGGTAGCAATGCCATGGTGGAGAAATGAGATAAGAGGCGATTTATAGTCCTGGGTTTTCTGTTTTATCAGAGAAAAGCCTATTCGTGAGGGAAATACACAAGTGAAAGTTTGCAAGATAACAAGGCAGCACTCAGAGCTTTGGGGTTCCAGTTCCAAATAAGCTAGAGTCAAGGCACTAGATTAGATTTACTGCCAGAAATAACCAAAGTCACTATTTTTAAATGACAAAAATAAGAAAACAGTGGTTTGTTTTTTAAATATGTGACTTAAAGTGAGGTTTGAAAGGTTATGTCTGGCAAATGGTAACAAAAGAGGCCCAGGTGAAAACACAGTGACTCCTTTATCTGGCAACAAGCAGAAGAGGAACCCAAAAAACCAAGACTAAATCACACCACTTTCAAAGTTCATGGCTTCGAAGGGTATGAACAAATGGCTCCGTGCTTGGGTTGGATAAGCCGTTAAAAGGAATTTTTCATTCTAGTTTTAAAGAAAGTATCATGTCATAATGTTCCACGAACATGAAGTAATCTCTTCAGAAAGATCTGTGATAAGGGAGAAGGGGAGATGATAAAAGGAACAAAATTCTTAGAGAGGTGAGACAATGGGAATCAGTGGATTGGCATTATTATACCATATAAGGCCACATACAAATGGTGTGAAAGCATTATAATGACTTGTCAATTTTTAGATGAAATGAAAATATTTATAAAATAGCTAGGTGTAAAATATGAATATGAAACATATTGTTACACTAAAATAATCATAATTATATCTCCTCAGTCACTTGCCTATTTTCTATAAAAACAACACTATTTCCATAGTCAGGAAAAATGTGTATTTCAAAATGACTATTGTTTCAATAATTGCATTAAGTAATAATAACTATAAATTCTTCAGTATGAGTTTGGGATACATTGTAACTTGACACATGGAAATAGTTTTACCATTAAGTCCATTTTGATCAAGAATGTTGGTGAAAGAGCTAGATGAACAACAGGTTCAGTAAGCAGTACAGAAATAGGTAAATGACACTAGCTCTGTGTGTGTTCCTGCATGTGAAATGTCCACACACGGAGGTGCGCGTTCATATGTCTGTGCAAACATGGTGGAGCCAGTGGTAAATCTCAAGTGCCATTCCTTAGGGATTGCTTTCTTAGGCAGTCAGTGTTTCCAGCACTGGGATTGCACTATGTGCCAGCATACATGGCCTTTTTACATGGGCTCTGAGGTTCAGTCAGATTCAGGTCCACAAGCTTGCGTGGTGGGTGCTTTACAGAACAATCTGATGAACTGCATCATCTCCTGAACTGTGAGCTGAAATAATGTAAGATGGGTATAGTAGGGTAGTTTTCAAAAGTTAAAAGAGTTTGAAGCAATTGCAAAGACTTACCTATGAAGTGTCAGCAAAATTTATCTCTTTTCTTTCTCTCCCTCTCCGCCCTCCCCATTACATTTTCAGGCTTAACAGAGCTGAATGATAGTCCAGTTCCCCTGGAACTCGAGCGCTGCAAGTCTCCCACTTCAGGTAAACATAGTGGTATCTTTCAAGCTTCTGGTAATTACTATAGTAAGCTATTCATATATTTTCATAATTCTTTTAAAATTAGTAGTTAATTCAGTTTCTGGAATTTAATCTTAAGTAGCTATGTTTCCAAAATAAATGCAGATGCATATCTTTTAAAATATTCTTTCCCCAAAATAAAAATAAGATCAAAAGTAGGAATGTAATACTTTAACTATTTCTTAAAGAAAGATTATTTTTTTGCATATGGTAAGAGTGACTAAAATATATTAGATAAAAATGGGTAATAGATACAAAACTTTATCATCCATTGGAGTAGTTAAATTTGTGAGAAATATAAACTGTAGGTGAAGAAAAAATATAGTATGCTTCTGGGTCACTATTCATGGCACGCTTATTTATTGATAAATTAAAATGAGGTCTAATATGGCATGAAATAAAACATCTTCAAAATAAAGCATGAGTCCACTAAATGTACATGTAACACCACAAGGAAAGAGACTCCTGGAGATAAATATTGAAAGCATGTAAATAAATTAATAAATATCTCAGTATGGTAGGATTCTGAGTGGTTATCTATTTTTTAAAAAATCTGATTATATGTTATCTCAAAAATTTTTGAAAGTTATTTTTTTAATATTTAAAATTATTCTGAATTTTCTTTTCTTTTTCCTTCCTTCCTTCCTTCTTCCTTCTTTCTTTCTTTCCTTCCTTCCTATCTGTCTTTATTTATTTATTTTAGTTTTTGGATAAAGGGTTTCTCTGTAGCTTTGGAGTCTATCCTGGAACTCACTCTGTAGACCAGATTGGCCTTGAACTCACAGAGATCCACCTGCCTCTGCCTCCCAAGTGCTGGGATTAAATGTGTGTGCCACCACCACCTGGCAATTATGAGTTTTCTATAATGCTTACATAACAATGGATAAAGTTTTGTGTGTATCTTAGATAGTGGATAGATCCATTCCTACCAAATTGCAAGATCTCCTGAGTAAATTGGAAGCATGGGGACCTTGGGGGAGGCATGAAGGGGGGGGGAGCAGAGAAAATGTAGAGCTCAATAAAAATCAATAAAAAAATTTTTAAAAAGAAATATTTAAAAAAAATCAAAGGAAGTGATTGAGGTGTAGATAAATGGTAGAGTACTTACCTAGCAGGTACAATGCCCTAGGTTTGGGCCCAAGCACTATAGAAAAACTTTTTTTCCTCAGAAGCAAAAGATATCACTACTTTTTATTTACATTATTTATTGTATATGGAAATGTTAAAATTTAATAATGCCTTTTAAATCATGTATCTGGATTTTAAATTCTTTTACAAAAATTCTTCAATTTGTTGTACCCTTTTTAAGTTGTTAATTCTTTTTCCTTGCTCTTGTGTCCTATGCGAAGTTTTCTTTTTTTTTTATTTTATTTTCAAGACAGGGTTTCTCTGTAGTTTTTTGGTGCTTGTCCTGTAACTAGCTCTTGTAGACCAGGCTGGCCTCGAACTCACAGAGATTCGCCTGCCTCGGCCTCCCGAGTGTTGGGATTAAAGGCGTGCGCCACCACTGCCCAGCAAGTTTTCTTTTAATAAGATCTTTTCATTCTTATTTTATTGCTTTATATGTGTACCACATATGTACAGAAGCTTGCAGAGGTCAGACAAGGGCATCAGATCTGATACTACAAATATTAAGAAGTTGTTGAGCAGTCGTGTATATACTGGAAGTAAAACTTCTTCCTTTGCAAGAGCAGTGCTCTTAGCCACGGAGTTATCTCTCCAGCCCCATATTGATTTTATTTTAATTTCCTAATGCACCCTTCTTTTCCTATTCTCATTGGCACCATTGTAATTTAAGAAATCATTGCCTCATACCTAAAGTCACATGAAAATGTTCTGGTAAATGATTTTGCATTTTAAACTTCCCTACAGTTTATTCCCCATATCATGTTGCAGAATTAACTTCCTTAAAATATTACTTTGGTCAGATTTTCTTGTAACTAACAATCTTTCATATAGTTTAATGCCCTATAACAGATTGTTGTACCAACCAAACTTGAAATTCCCATCCATAATTTGAATTTGAATGATAAACATTGAACTCTTCCTTCCATTCTCTCTTTGTGCATTTCTATCCTCCTGAAAAACTAAATATGATTTTAAAATTTTTATTTATTTTTCTAGACAATTTATGTTTGAAAATAAACAAAAAGACATCCATTTTAGTCCTGTTTATGTAGATTATTATAATCATCCTTGCATCAACTTTCAGTATAGTTTGTGTTCCATATCACTAAATTAACCATTCCTTTATTTTTATAGTTGTATAAAATTTAATTGGATGTATATATCATAATTTATCTAATCAGTTCAACCATCAAATACATTGATCTTGTTACTTATCTTCTGCTACTACAAACTAATGCAGAGAGAAACCTAACCAAATGACTCATTTTAAATTTGTGTAAACGTATCTAAGAGATAAATTTGTAAAATTGGAGTTTGGTGGTTAAAGATTATATGAAATGAATGAAATGTATGCCCTGGCAGTGCTGAAGCGTGCATGGGCTGGCCATATATGGTGGTTCTGTTGAACTTGTCCATATTGGGTTTCACGGTCTAAGTTGATGAGGACAACTGAACAGTTGTCTTCTTCAAGCGGGCATCAGATCTCATTACAAGTGATTGTTTGGAACTGAACTCAGTACCTTTGGAAGAGCAAGCAGTGTTCTTAACCGCTGAGCCATCCATGTTTAATTTTTGTAGATATTCCCATGTTTCTGTCCTCAAATCCTAAATAACATTTGAATAATGGTTATGCTTTTCACTTATAACTGATTAATAGATTAAAGGGATATGTAAATGTTACAATTTATACTTTATGTGCTATAAGTTATGTTCAAAACCTTTTTACATATATTAAAAACTTAAGTTTTTGTACACTGTGCAATAAGGTATCCATATTATTAACCTTTGTCATGTATTGATATTGACTTTTTGATATAAATTCCAAATAGTTTTTCAATTTAAGTTTTAATTTTGTTTGTTGTATCTCTTCTTTTGAACATTTTTATATAAAAATACATCAATATTTTATAGGCTACCTTCTTTTATTTTCTATGTATCTGTTTCTCTCTCTCTCACTCTCTCTCTCTCTTTGTGTGTGTGTGTGTGTGTGTGTGTGTGTGGAGAGAGAGAGAGAGAGAGAGAGAGAGAGAGAGAGAGAGAGAGTTTGTTCATGTTTTGTGAGTACATTGTAGCATGAATTTTAATTGGTCTTAATAATAAAAACTCAGAGTCAACTATCTGGGTAAAAGCTGAAGGATCAGAGAAGCAGAACAGCCAGCCACTAGAGTTCTTACCTCTACCAATGCTCAGATCAAAGGGACGATCCTGTCCTCAGACTGCAGCCTCAGATTGAATGCTTCAGACTGCTGCCTCAGACTGTTGCCTCAGATTGCACTGAGCTCCTGTCTCCTCCCTCCTTATATTCCTCTCCCTACCCAACCATATCACTCCTGTCTCCACCTCCCTAGTGCTAGGATTAAAGGCATGAGATCCCAAGTGCAATTATTACCTTTGTGTGAGCTCTGTTTCACTTTTATACAGATTCTAGCTTTTGTAGCCCAGATTGGCCTTGAACTAACAGATTCTTCTGCCTCTGTCTCCCAAATCCTGGGATTAAAGGTGTGTGCCCCCTGGCCTCTAGTGGCTTAGCTCTGCACTCTGATCTTCAGGCAAGCTTTATTTGTTAAAACACAAAATATCACCATGGTGTCTATGCATACTTGTGTGCCTGCATGTTGAGGCCAGGGGTCAGCCTCAGAGGTCTTTTCTTAGGAGCTGCCTACACTCCTGTTCGGTGAGGCAGCATCTCTCACTGGGACCTAGGGCTCACCAATTAGCATAGACTAGCTAGTCAGTAGGCCCCAGATACCTGCTCATCTCTGCTTCCCCAGCTGGAATTATCAAAACCTGCCATAACATCCAGCTTTTGATATGCGTTCTAGGGACCCAGAATTCTGGGGACCTGATTCAGGTCCTCATGCTTGTGCAGCAAGCACTTTACAGACTGAGCCATCTCCGGGCCCTTTCTCCTTTCTTCTGCACAAGGGTTTAAGTAATCGTTGAGATTACTTATTCTTTAAAGTTTAAGTAACATTTCTCTATTATAACAATTGCTTCATGTATTCTTTATTTTGCATAATTATACTCTCTCCTTAAAGAAATTTATCTTCATTATGGACATTTTTGTTTGGCCTTAATAATGTTTTACTCTTACTTATTTTTAACTTTTAATTTCTGCTTTTATTTTTATTAATTACTTCTGTTTTCCTTTTCCTTTATTTTTCCTTTTCAGTTTTTTAGGTATGTACTTAATTCTTTTATTTTCATTGTTTATTAAACATTTCTATAAGTTTAGTGCTAAATTTTCCTTTGAATTTCACACTAAATATGCCACACTTATTTTATTTTATTAAAATTCATTTTGTGCAATATTCTAGTTCTTTTTTCTTTTATTGAAAATAGATTATTTTCATACAATATATCCTGAATATAGTTTCCCTTCACTCTACCTCTCAAGTTTCTACCCACCTCTCCTCCCATCTGGACCCACTCCCTTTCTGTCTCTTGTTAGAAATCAAACAGGCATCTAAGGGAATGTAATATAATACATTTTAATATAATACACTATAAAATAAAAAACAAGCACAAACAAATTGGAATAGGCCAAAACAGAAGAAAAGGGCACAAGAAACAGATATAGATGCAGAGACCCACTTGTACACAAACTCAAGAATCCCATTAAAAAACACCAAACTGAAAGCCATAATATATACACAAAAGACCTGCTGCATAAAAATAATAACATTTAAAAATAAAAAATATAAAGTGTTTGCCAGGCAGCAGTGGCACATGCATTTAATCCCAGCACTCAGGAGGCAGAGGCAGCCAGAGCTCTGTGAGTTTGAGGCCAGCCTGGTCTACCTTTTTTTTTTTTTTGTCTCTGTAAGATTTTAATG